GTGTCTGTGTTAATTGGTTTCCCTTTTCTTTGTTGAAGAGGGTCTGTGCAATCCTTCTGCCTAGTCCGCCATCTTGCCCCTGCTTACAAGCTTTTAAGACCCTAGTCACTACTCACCAAAGTAGGATGTGGAACAATGTTTTTGTGTAGTATTTTATGCCAATTGAGCTTGATGTCCCCCACAACCACATCCTGAGCCTATGGGCCCAGTGACTCGCTCCCTCAGGGTGTTTGTGCGTGGCTAATAGCTATCATAACTTTGCCCCATAGCTCTATTACATATATGGACATTCTTACAGTACATACCAATATGTACGTAGAAATATCATCTGCCAAACTTGTATTTGGTCACTTTTGCCCATATATACCTGATCATTCAGCCTGTCTACCAATGTACCCACCTGTAGATTAATGTTTATTATTACTGGTAATGCAGGACTATGTGTAAGTGTTAACCTTTGTTGCGTGGACCTCTTGTGTACCTCTCTGTGTCTTCCTTCTCCTTAGTGTTACTGTGCTGGTCACTCGCTTTTGGTATACTGCCCTTCCCTTCACCCAGATCAACACTTGTGTCACTGACCTATCTAGCACTGTTCCCGCCCTCACTGAGGTTTTAAAGTGCTTTTTTTTTTTTTTTTACTCTGAACCAATCTCCCATGATTGATCATTCTAAGGCGTGCACCTGCCTGGTGTAAATGTTCATCTTATATGCCTGTCTATTATTTGCAGGATTGCAGGATTACCCTAACGATGCTGAGCATCTTTTCATGTGCGTATTTGTGAAGTGTCTGTTCAAATCCTTTGCCTGTTTTATTTTTTTTTTTACTGTTTCAGTTTGACAGTTCTTTAGTTTCCATTCCACTAAAATTCTATTAAACAAAATTGGCCAAAGTTTAAGGCCTATTAAATTAACACCTGATCAATAGCTCTAGACATCCTGTTGTTATTTAGACTATAGTCAAGTGTTTCTGGTTTTCCGGGGAGGAGTATGTTCACGATCTCTGAGGAAGGTTTAAAGGATGTACTAACTACAGTGAAGTTGCAGTACTACGCTAACAATTTTAAAGCAAAACATGTGTTGAGTGCTCTAGTCCGCCTGCTCCTTAGTCCAAGGAAATTCAGTAGGTTACAAATTCATTCGCGGGTTCTCATACAATTAGAGAGGGGAGAAAAAAGTGTGAAACAAACATCACATGGCGCCTGTACATTAAATAGCACCTACAGGTCACCAACATCAGGAGTCAGAAGGGGTCTTACCTAGCTCACTCCCAAGTGCTCCTAAACTTGTGGTCGGCCTTTCACATGAATGTGAAATTGGTCCCGGCAGATCCTCCTGTTGCTGTTGCTGCTGCTGCTGCCTGAAACATTGCAAAGAAAATAAACGTCAAAGAAAAAAAAAAAAGGAATACACCATGAGAAAAACTATTCATGTGGAAAAGAAAGTGTCCTGAAAACAAAACAGTCACTAGCACGAACACCACAAATAAACACAAGAGCCTCTGGCCTGACACCTTTCAACGCGGATGGCACCACGTGCTGGACCACGTTCAGACGGGGCTCGGCACCATTCCCACTGAGCCTTCCTTGCCTTCACTGACCGGCTGGAAAGCGAGGATCTACTTGTCTCAGATTCCCTGCAGCTGGAATTCTGGTTACAAATTAAGGACTTGCATGAAGCTTGAAAGGTGGCAATGGGATGGAGCCATCTTCCTGCTCTGTTGTTCTCTGGTGGCAAGGCACAGAGATGTCTGTCCCAGAATCACGCTTCATAGCAGTTGCATCGAGGACCAGACTTCATGTTTCCATGTCCAGCAAACTGTGGTGGCTGCTTCCTGATCCCAGTGTCTTGACCCCACAATCACATGTGTGGCCGTGTGTTCTTAAATGCAATGTTCCTGATCCCCACTTTCCCAGCTGGGGCAGTGGCTGCAGCTCTTCTGCCAAGTTGGTCTGGGGTGTTCCAGAGGCTCATCGACATCCTGAGCCTCCAACTCTTGCAAAGATTTTGTATGCGCCTAATATCCGTATTAAATGCTTTTCTTCTTAAAACATCTCTAGTAGTTTATTAACATGATCCCTGTGTGATAAACTAAACCAAGTGGTAGCTCAAATATTGCTGTTGTTATGTGCCATAGAGTCGGACCCGACTTACAGCGACCTCTCCTTGGGTTTCCGAGGCAGTATCACTACGGAAGTAGATTGCCCCATCTTCCTTCCGAGAGCTCCAATGTTAGGCACTGAAAAACTCAGCAATCCTTTGTCACAGGAACAGTATTTGTATCCTTCCTTGTTTGTTGTTGTTTCCCAACTTGATGTTTTTCAAAACAGAAAGTATCAGTATCTTGAAGCTATACCTGGATAAGACGTTAGTTAACACTAACACGTATCTGTGAAACAGTTTACAATTTACGTAATACTTTCATATACATTGCCTAATTTGACACTTAAAATTTCTAAGTTAAGGGAGGTTTTACAGTAACCTAACTGATATAGTAAAGTTTTGCTTAGGATTCTACGATAGATGAAACATTTAGATTACCACTGAAAAAAAAAGTCACAGCTATGAAAATGTTGTTTAACAAGTCTTACTCATAAACTGTGTTTGTAATGGCGTTTTTGCACTAGAGAAAACCCTATGGTTGTCCTTTGTGCATGGATACTGTCATTATGATGCTAAACATGAAGCTTCAAATACTCTACAGGGGAGAAAAACTATCAGACTGTATGAAAAATAAAGTTAGCACCACTGTCAGTTTGGGGACAGAAAGAGAAAAGAGTTACTTTGACAACCTGAAATCAAGTTCCTAAAGACGAAAGCTACAGAGCCAAGGACCCATCTTGCCTTAGTAATCAGGTATTTTCGTGAAAAGCATGTATTAGTTTCTAAGCTCCTCTCAGTCAGTTCTACAAGATTTTTAATACTAGCCAATGTTAAAATAAAAACCAAGGAGTGAGCTTCTGACTTTTCTCAGTAACATATACCACTCATGTACAACATTCCCAATTCTCCCCAAGTTCCCACCAGGATCTTCAAGGTCTAACCAAGAGGCTAAGAATGAAAGGCTGCAGCTGGCACCCATTGATGCACACCTTCCCCCCATCAGCTGTCATCTAATCATAAGGCGTTGTAGCCACACACCACCATTTCTACAAGGGTGTAACACTGACGAAAACATCTGCTGATTACAAAGCACCAGTTTTCACTGGTCCTGTGGCTTGTGACAACCAGTCCTCATGGAATGTTTACTGCTTCCTCTTCTCCACAATAAAAAGTTCAACTCTTCAAAGCTTTATAATTCTAATCCAAACTCACCCTAACAATATTTTAAGAGTTTAGTTTTATACTTTAAAGATGGTTTCTTTTTCTGTGGTGGTGGTGGTGGTGGTGGTGGTGGTGTTATGTGCCATCGAGTCGGACCCGACTCATAGAGACCCCTCTTTCGGTTTCCAAGGCAGTATCACTACAGAAGTAGATTGCCCCATCTTCCCTCCGAGGAGCGGCTGGTGGGTTTGAACCACCAGCCTTCTGGTTAGCAGTCAAGTGCCTTAGGCACTATGCTACCAGAGCTCCCTTTCTTAGGTGTACTTGTGAATTTTACAGTTTCTCTATACAGCATAGCTGTGTGGACCATTTCATTCCGGCAACAAAGGAGGTCAGACATAAGCATGGTAGAATTATAATTTGGGACAAAGCAATTTAGAATCTGTACCAAGACCTTAATGATATTCCCACCCTTAAAGCATTAATCCAATTATCTACAGAATAATTAGAGGAAATGATTAGAGGTTTGAGGTATAGTCACTACAAGGATTATTTGTTGCATTACTTGTTATAATAGCAAAGAGTTCATCAATTAATTATCAATTAAGACACGTTCATTCATTTTACGCAGTGTCATAAAATCAGCCTGTTACGAAGAATATTTCATATCATGGGTAAATGATATTAACATGTAATGGGTTTAACGTTAGTAAATGGGTAGAAACAATGGGTACGACACGGACATGTCTGTGACTAGAGGAAAACGTCGTGGAATATTAGCGTCATTCACTACACAACAGCGAGATTATGCCTTTAATTTTATTGCTATTTCTTAAAATAATCTTTCTAGAACATACATGAATTTTTATCTAATTACTTTTAAGTTATATTTACCACTAACAGGATATTTATTTGGCGATATGGAATTATCATGATAATTACCATGTACTGATAATTATTACCATTATCTTGTGATAACGGTATTTGGTTGGTTGGTTGTTTTTTTAAAAAACCAGCCCATACATTTTTAGAGATAGCAATGAAATATTTCTAGATTAACCAAAATGACTGAGCTTTGTTACAAAATAACCCAGGCTGGGGTGGGAGAAAGGGCCCTTAAACAAACAAGAGGGCCAGGGGCGGACAGGCTGCAGCAGATGAAGGTAGCTCATCACACCGGGTTCTCTCTGTTTGTATAAACATGAACTTTACCAGTTGAAAAGAATAGAAGATTTAATTTAAAAATTTTACAGGACCTGAAAAGCACTAGTAAGTGCTATTTTGAAGAAAACTAAATCCATTAATCTATCACTGAACAAAGACTAGAAATATCTCACATTAAGATGTCAGTTGATCAGAACTTTCCTTCATACACTTCTGAGTTGTGACTTAAAAAAAAAAAAAACAGAAAAAAAGGTAAATATCATCTTATACATGTTATTATACCACCAAATCCAAAATGCTCTGGTATTTTTGATTCTGTTAAAATACTACCCATTATGACTGTGAGCTACTGCTCAACTCAAGAGATGCTGAAATGTGAAAAAATGTGCATCTCAGAGGTGATGAAATGTGTAGGCAGGAGTGCAGAGCTGGCCAATAGCCTTCTGCTTTCTAAGGGGGGTCAGAGAGTCTGACTGAGAATATGACTGTTACGGATCTTGTAATCTTTGAAAACCCAGAAAAATCCACCAAACTCACTGCTATCAAGTTGGATCTGACTCATAGTGACCCCTCCTTGGGTTTCCAAGGCAGTATCACTACGGAAATAGATTGCCTAACCTTCCTTGTAATCTTTAAGGTGGAGTTTTATTAAAAAGAAAAGGAGTGGGGGGAAGACATGTGAGCACAAGTTACTGGAGAGGAAGAGGTTTTCAGAGGGCACAAAGATAGGCTTTAAGAGCCGATGATTCAGATTTAGGGCTTGTCACCCTATCTCTGCTGTCAACAGGCACTGTGAGGAAGAGCTTACCACCACTGTATTTAGGGAGCTCTGGTGGCACAGAGCCTAAGGCATTTGACTGCTAACCAGAAGGCTGGCGGTTCAACCCCACCAGTCACTCCTCAAAAGGAAGACTGGGCAATCTACTTCTGCAGTGATACCACCCTGGAAACACAAAGAGGGACTGCTCTGAGTCAGATGCGACTTGACAGTGGTGAGTTTGGATTTTTTTATTGTTTGTTTAGGAGTGTGCTCCCCCATCTACATTGTTGTCCTTCCTACTAACTGACAGAGGAGCCTTGCAAGGTGGCCAGGTCATCAAGAAGCACATTCAAAGGCTTGGTAGGCACTGTTCTCATCTTGCCCTTAATTCCATCTTCCTGTTGATGAATGGAATTTTATAAGGTTTCCTTCACCCTATCTCATGTAAATTTATCCAGTATGGGGGCAAAGTTGTCCCCTAAAACTACGTTTTGATTTCACAGCTTAAAAAATATTTGCTGTAAGTTAAAAAAACACAAAAACATTCAGATGTTCACAGAGTTCAGGCAATCACCAGTGTCTAAAAAGAGGAAACCCAAATTAAAATCAATTGTTGAAGCCAAAGCTATTAGTTTACAAATAAACAAAAACAGTCTAAGTAAGTATTAAACATGCAATTTTAATCTTGTACCAACTACTTTACTTTTCAAAGTAGGCTTCTCTTCTCTTCCGCAGCTCTTCTGAACTAAGATTTGTACCTGATGTCTGTACAGTATCTTGAGATATATTTCTGGAACTACCTAAAAACAGAACAAAAAACTATCATTTACCAACTCAAGCAATATCTTTATCCTTATCAACGCAAGCTTTTAAAAGGTTTTTTTTTCCTTAAAAATAGTCTACTCCTATTCTGCAGATATGGCTCTGAAAGTCTTAGAGAAAACCTGAACATACAAACCTAAATTATCACCACTGCAACTAACCTGCCACCTATCTGTGATACAGCAGGTGTGAGGATAGAAAATCTAAACCCCAACACTGGGGTCACTAATCCCACACTCATGTGCTCTCTTTAACTTACTAGAAATGAATCTCTACTTTCAAAGGCGTAGTGTTCCTGGAAGCATCTTAAGATGGATCTCCCTAAAACAAACCCATTCTCTGTATTCCTCTCCAGCCTCAAACATTTGGGCAACTACAACTTAAATACATTTCCATGTTCTCACTTGAAAACTGTGGCAACCAGAGACTTCGCACAACTATGAAATTCAGTGGTTTGTTGTTGTGGCCGACCCCATGTGTGTCAGAGTACAACTGTGCTCACAGGGTCTTCAAGGCTGTGACCTTACAGAAACAGACTGCCAGGCCTGTCTTCTGAGGTATCGCTGGGTGGGTTCAAACCACCAACCTTTCAGCTACTAGTTGAGTGTTTAACCCTTTGCACTATACCCAGGGACTCCTGAAATAAAAGTGGTAAGAAAAATAAATTATACAAAAATGCCCAGAATTGCAGAAGCTGGTGTCTATCCATCATGGGCTAATCCAACAAGGCTCTACTCATCCAGACGGGGATTGTACACCATTTTGAGGACTGAGGGTGTACCAGAAGGCATGAGCAGCTCAGGATAAGATACAAGGATACATCTCTATCTTAAGAGAACCTCAATTTTGTTTAGATTTTTAAGGAATTGATAAGGAATTTCATTATAAAGTCTACAGCAAATTTACATGAACTAGATAAAAACCAAACTTCTGAATAACTTTAAGATTTGAAGTGAACTACTCTGGGCCATGACCGAGGCAGTTCCCTCAGCCCAGATTCCCGGGGGATGTATCTTCACTTTCCTCTGATGGGCTTATGTCACTAAAACTCCCACTCAAGTAGGCTTCAGCTCTTCACTGCACAGCCACTAAGTGTGGGATTTTTGTAAAATCAATGTACATGTCCTCTCTGGGCCCTCCTTTGTGTTCGATTGCATACATTTGTGAAAAAGCTAGCCTGGGCAATGGTTAACTAACCCTCATAATGATTAACCTTCATTTACTGTTGTGTTAGCACAAATAAGATAGTCAGAAATAAAACGCTACTAGTTTTAATATAGTGAAATCTGTGAGAGCCAGAACTCAAAGGCACAGTCTTCTTTTTCTGGGTCTCACAAGCTTTCCACCTTTGACACAGTGCAGTCTTACCACTTTCCTATTACTCTATTGTTGTTGCTATGTGCCATGGAGTCGGACCCAACTCACAGCGACCCCTCCTTGGGTTTCCGAGGCAGTATCACTATAGAAGTAGATTGCCCCATCTTCCTTCCGATTGCTCTATCAGTGGGAAATATTTGCATTTTCCTTTTCTGACAGGTTTCTGCTTCACACAGGTTCCAGCTTTTGCAGGTTTTACAGTGTTATAATACTATGTTCTATACCTGATCTTAGCCAAAAGGCCAAGAAGAAATATGTATTATGCTTTATTAGAACTTCTTACATTATAACCTATGTTGGTTGCAAAGTGATGTGTGCAATCAGAAATCTAAACGAATAACTAGGTTAACACAGCCATTGTTTCAGCAGTAGCTACAGCACTTTACTAGTACATTTCCCAGTATATTAACTTCCAGAGAAATAAAGAATAATCTGAATCAACTCTTCAGCAGTGGATGCAGGACTGACCAGAACACCTATACCTTGCATGCTGAGCTGAATAGCCCTGCGGAGATCAGCTTCTTCGTCTTCCATGTCAATTTCATGGCGACTTAGTGCCAGAGCCCTCTGCAAATCTTCCTCATCTTCGTCTAACATTCCTGGCCCATCACTTCCTTCCAAGACTCGTTCCAGGTCTGTTTTCTGGGCTCTGAAGAGCAAAAGCACTGATAATGACTGCAAACCAGACTCCTACTTTCGTCATGATACAAAGCCATTTGTAAATAAAAAATCTATGCAAATCAAAACGTATACTTTACTGGCATTTACCTTCCAATAATATGAAGAACATGTTGTCATGCGGATTTAAATTAACACAGAGGGCGTCCCCAACTGTTCTAATTGACTCCAACTAAGTCAGTTCTGACCTAAGCTGAATGCCCCATTTTTTCTTTTTAGTTTTCCTTATTATTACCTTTTATTATCAGTATCTTTATAAATCCAATCTTTATGGTCTTTGGGGGTTGGCATGAGAATGAGAACATCAGCCAATGATGTGCTGTGACAGTGTATGTAGTACCTATTACCAAAAAGAAGACGTACAAAAGACTCCACAGAAAGAGACGGCAAGTGTGGTTCATTGTAACTTGAATATGCCCTAAGGAGGGGACCACCCGTCTTTAAGTAATTCAGAGTCAATTCAAGCTTGAACCAATAAACTGCACTAACACACAAAGGCCCAGTGGCATACGTTTATGAAATGGCTAGCCTATTAACAGTAACAGGAGTACATATTCAGCATGAGCCTGCCCATGCAGGAAGCACTAGCCATCACACCGCGAACGCTGCAGGCACGTTTACCTCTGATCCTTTAGTTGTGCTAATTCTTCTCCAATAAGTTTTGGTCGATGCATCTGTTGGACCCTGATCATCTGCAGGAGTTGGTCAGCTTCACAATCTGGCAGATCACCCTTAACAACAAATATAGAGTAACCTACAAAAAAAAGTCAAAAATAAAACTGAACCACTGAAATAGATTGACAGTGATAGCAGACAGAGAGGCAATGTAGTGATGTGGAGAGAACAGGCTGAGGAGTCAGAAAGACCTGGGTTCAAATAATAATCCTTACACTTACCAGGGGGGTGCTCTAGGGCAAGCTACTTAACATCTCTAAGCCCCACTTTCCCCATCTGTAAAATGGGAATCTATGAGAAGCAAATTAAATAACATCTGTACAAAGGGCCCTACTAATCCAGTGCTTGACCAAGCACGCTATTTCATGAATGGTAATAGAGAGGCAGATCAAGTCTGTTTTTAGACTGAGGGATTTGAAATCACACCGCCTGGGTTCAATGCCAGCCCTTCTACTTCCTAGCTGTGGTCTCTGCTAAATCACTTTACCTCCCTATGATTTTTTTACCCGGTTCAACAGATCATTCCAGTCCCTTGCTCATAGGGATACTGTGAGGGCTGAATCAGATATTGTATATATTGTATATAATGGACTATTATTAATCAGATTGTGAGTCATCTGTGGCAAGAGCTGCCCACCCAAACACACACACACACACACTCCTGTTTTAAGTAAAAACAGACGTGAGAAGCCAATACTCAAAATCTAGTCAAAGTGTTGACAATGTGGGGCATATTTGGAAAGAATTACACTGGCTCTGTTTAATTTTTATAAATATGATTCTAGAAGGCCAGAGTTCTCACAACTGGAAGTGCCTCACAAAACTGAATAGAGTGGCCTGTACTTAAGGTACAGGAACCTTGGTGGTGCAGTGGTTTAAGTGCTTGGCTGCCAACCAAAAGGTTGGTGGTTTGAACCCACTGGTTACTCAGCAGGAGAAAGATGTGGCAGTCTGCTTCCATGAAGATCTGCAGCCTTGGAAACCCTAGGGGGTAGTTCTACTTTGTGCTATATGGTTGCTATGAGTCAGAATTGACTTGACAGCAGTGGGTTTTGGCACCTAAGTCATTCTAACCAATTAATGTTTCCCTACATTTTTGTTCAACTTTGGTGCTTGTTACCAGTTATCCTTTGTGAGCATTAACAGATAATGAAAGAAATGAACAAAAATCAAAAAGAAAAATTTAGATCAGTAGATCATGCTAAGTTTCACACTTTTTTCTTAAAGACTGCAAAGCTCAGAACTCAGATGGGGTGACATATTTTCTATCGGTAAACTGTTCATAGGTCCTGGAGTCAGTCAGCCGTGCATGCTGTCACATGTGGAATTCTGCCACCTTAAAAAAGCTGCGAATTAGCTGTTCATCTGGTCAAGCGATCTGATACAAAATAAAGACTGCATGCGCAATGGCCATGGCTAACAGGCTAAGAAAAGGGATCGGAGTTACTGAAAGTCATTTCTATACTAGCCCGGAATATATTATACTAACCCTGATGACAATCATTAAGATTATACCAACTTTCCTGGTGGTGATTCCCCACTCTACAAGAAGCCTGGTCTTCTACATAGTTTTCTAATAGGAAAAGAGCAGGCTGATCAACTAACTGCACAATCTAGTCCACATGGCAGCTCTATTTCTCGCTGTGAATTAATAAACTGGCTGTTGGTGGTAGCTGCCACCAAGTTGGCTCTGATTCATGGCAACCCTATGAGTAAAAGAAGGAAGGGCTGCCCGATCCTGGGTCATGTTCACGATCGTTGGTGTGTCTGAGTCACTTGTTGTAGCTGTTGTGTCACTCCACCTCAGTGTGGGTTCCCAGCACTTTTGTTAGCTAAAGCAGCCTTCTATGTTACTTTTCAATGAACTGGTAGTCTGACTTATACCCTGGCTTCACCCTTCAAAACAGCAATCTGAGGCTGCACCTTTAATACCTTGACTAGATTTGAGGTGTTGGCTTCCCTATCTTTGTTTACAGTTACAGAAGGCAGTACTTGGTGACTGGCCGATTCTAGGTGCCAAGCCAAGAGTCCTGGCATGTCCACAATGAAATACCACCACACCCATGAGTTTGATGGGTGCGGCAAGCAGAATGCCAATAATAACACCTTCGTTCACTCGTTCATTCAACAGGTATTTACTGAGCACTTCCTATATAGTAAGCTCAGCTCTAGGTGCTGGGAATGATCCCTGCCCTTGTAGGAGTTCAGACAAAAACAAATAAGCAAACAGAGTTTAACATTAAGTAACAAGTGAAGAAGGGAAAGTGAGCATGAAGATGGGGAAGAGCCTCTCTGAGGATGAGATATTTGAGCAGAAATATCTGAAATAAGATGACAAATCTTGAAAATATGTAGAGAATAGTGTCCTAGAAAGAGGGCAAGTCCAAAGACCTTAAGGAAGGAAAAGGCTTGACCTGCTCCAGGAATAACAAGGAAACCATGGGCTCTGAGCAGAGTCAGGAAGCACAGGGTGAGCAAGAAGGCTCAAGAAGTGGGCCAGAGGGAAGTCATGTTGGCACCTAACGTCATAATGAAGAGTTTGGGTTTACTCAACACTTTAGATTGTATTCTGAGTGTGCTGAGAAGCTGCTGAGGGGTGTGACATGACACGCATCACGTCTGTTAAAAGCACTCTGGGCTGCTTGACCTACACTGCACAGCAACCAGAGTGCAAGAAGACAGTGATGCCTACTGAAATGGAAAACCTGAGAGAGAGGAGGTTCAAGGAGGAAAACACCAGCCTTCTGTAAATAGGTTCAGTTTGAAATGCTTTCTGGACTTGAAGTGAATATGTCAAAGGCAGGGGTTTGGTGCTCAAGGTAGACATCTAGGCTGCAGAGAAAAATATGGAAATAATTGGCACACAGACTTGACTTTACGATGATATTTAAGATCATGGGACTGGACATAATCAAGAAGTTGAATATTTCTCTTCAATATTTAGAGACTGGAAGAGAGGATTCACAAAAGGAATCTGAAAGCAGAAGCCAAAGAGATACAAGGAAAATCTGCATGGCGGCCTGGAAGACCCATGCAGACAGTGTTTCAAGATGGCGGGTGTAGTTAGGAGCCAAGGTGTTAGGTATAAGAGAAAAGACATATAAGAAAATAACATGAAAAAGTAAAAATGTTATCATCCTAAATGTGAACTGGAAATAAAGTACATGAACTGATGATGTACCTTCTCTCAAAAAACCAGCCGAGAAACTATGACTGATGCAGCAGCAACAAACCCCCTGGTGCTCAGCTGACCAGTGTGGCTTCTAAACACCACCACTAAAAGGGACCAGGATCTCTGGAGAAGTGACAGAGATCCAGGGCAGGAAACAGACCAGAAAAACCTGAAACATCTTGTTAGACAGGAAAGAAAACATTTTCAAAAGACTGCAGAGGTTGTGGCAGAGGCGTGGAACTCAACTTCAAAAGATTTCCACTGGTCAAAGATGGGACGTTTTGAGCATCAATATTAATAAAAACCTCAATGGACTGAAACCCAAACTACGTTTTAATGACATTTTAGTAAAACTTTAACAAAACAAAACTAATTGGTTACAGTTGGGCAATGGTAGGGAACCAACTCATTATTTTAAAAATGTCAATGTCTCCTGCTTTTCCTGTATGAACTGTATTTCAAGATGATCAAGTAACTGACAAGGAGTTTATTTGTATAGAGGTATTTCAGTTAGTAAATGACAGGACATGAATCCTGTATCACTGTTTTTTTAATATTTTGAAATAATGGATCTAGACATTGATCAGCAGTGGCTCCTCCCATTGCCATCAAGTCAATTCTGACTCACAACAACCCTACAAACATCACAAAAAGAGACAACCAGACATCAAGTGCCACTACCATCTATGAGGTGCTGTCCACCCTCCCCACAAAATCAACCTGAATCTGGTTAAGCCTTAGATCGAAGGACCAGTCTATAGGGTACCCAAGCTCAGAGGAAAACAGGGGTGCCATCATAAAACTCCAGAATGTGGGGAACAGGACATGTTACTCATTTTCTTCAATGACTACATCAAGAAAAAAAATAAAGAGAGGGCACCTACAGAGTAAGACAGACTGAAGAGACCTATCAACCCAGTGCAACCAAGTCCAGTGCAGCCAACAAACCTGACTTCAATCCAGATTAAACCGTGAAGAACAGAGACAACTGGGAAGATCCAAACACTGGGAGTGTGATGTCATTAAAGCATTACAGTTAATTCATTTAGTGTAATTACAGTATTGTGACTGTATGTTTTGTAAGAATCTTTGCTTTAAAAAATTTTATTAAAAAAAATTTAAAGAGAAAATGGTAAAATGCCTAGGAGTTGGTTCAAAATAAACAGGGGAAGGGGGCAGGTAGGGCATAGATGAAGTAAGACTGGCCATGAGATAATTATTGAAGCTGAGCTAAAGGTACATGTGGATCCATTGCACTGTTTTCTTTACTTTTATATTTGTTTGACATTTTCCGTAATAACTAAGCTTTGTTTTGTTGAAAGGAGGTCCTCAGGTAGCACAGATGGTGAAGGGCTGGACTACTGACTGAAAGGCTGGTGCTCTGAACCCCGGGGGCATCTCAGAAGCAAGCCTGGGGAGCTATTTGGAGAGAATTGACTACAAACCCACTAGGACTATCAGGCAGCATTGAGGGGTCACAAATGCAAACTGTATGGAGTTCTGCTCTGCACATGTGGGGCTGTCATGAGTTGGAACTGAATCAATCACAACTAACATCAACAACGACAACATAATCAACTATACCCTCAAATAAGAGGATGACAACTAAAGGGAAGACTGAGAATTGCATACTGGCATTGGCAACCGTGGAGGTCACTGATGACACCGGGAGGGTTTTTCATTGACACAATGGTTCTAACAGCATGGCTGGAATGAGTTCAAAGACAGGAAACGCCACACTACAGACAACTCTAAGAAGAAAATAAAAATGGGGGGCAGCTGTCGTTTCAGGGAGTTGAGAGGTTTCTCCTTTTCTATCAGTGGGAGATAGCCTACTCCTCTGCTGATGGAGTAACACAATAAAGCAGGGGAATGGTCATACAGAGGAGTGGAGACATACAAGCAGGAGCAGAGATAGTGAGGGGCAGGAGGAACCAGGGTCCAGCCCCCAGTGGAGGCGCTGGCCTTGTTAGAAGCAGGGAACAGTCCACCCATTTTAATAGAGTCACAGAAGAGATACAGATCTAAGCTAGGTGATAGATTTACTGATAGAAAGATAAAAAGTTCTCTTTTAATTGCTTCTATCTCCTCAGAACAAAAAGGAAGGCCATTAAGCTAGGAGCAGGAGGTGAGAGGAGTGGTTACAGGCCAGAGGTGTGAACCCGGGAAACAATTATCTTGGAGTAGAGAGCGAATGGACTGTGAACCCAGAAGGACTGCAAGGCAGCATTAAGGGTCCATTTCAAACTCGTGGTCACAAATGTAAAGCAATTCAATCACCCTATTTTACGTTGCTCTTTAGCCATGTTTACCTGCTCCGGTGCCGGAATGGACAAAGCCTAAATCTGGGTTTCACCAGGGCTGGGATTTTGTCAGGAATAAAGGATGGAGAGGAGGAACAGAGCTAAGGAACACAAGGGAGCCAGTACAATGGTGGGCTATAGACAACAAGCAGGGTAAGAAGGCAGTTAGGACACAGAGGAGGGCCTGGTCCTTGTGGTAAGGTTAAAGACTTGTTGGAATGGAAAACAAAGAAAACATGGCATGAAGAGACGAGATGGCAGTCACGGATGGGGTCAGAGCTTGTAAATGGAATGTGGAGGTGCTGTGGTTATTGGTAATAGTTAGGTAAGAGTGAAGAAAATGCTCTTTGAAAGTAAAAAGTAAGGAACACAGGCATCAAGGAATTGGATTGACTTTTCAATGTGGAAATTGGTAAGAATGACAAAAGAAATTGAAGCAGAGAGAAAGACAGTGGATCAGGTCCCAAGCTTCCGTGACATAAAAGGAGAATCACAGATGACTACAAAGGGCTGGGGTAGTTTACTCTGGTGGTGCACACCTGCAAGGAGTGGGAGTTTTTTTTAGGGAAGAACAAAGGCCTAGAAGGGCAAGGAAGAATACAAGCACCTGGCCCTCCTCCCGGCCGTGGTTATGTGGCATATGGAAGACAAGAGCCATTACCAGGGGCTGCGGAGGAAGCAGTTACCTGGGGAGGGTCGGGTGCCAGTGATAACTCCGACTGAACAGTCCCATCATCATCCAAAACCAGCTCAGTTTACTTAGCTACATCACAAAATCACAAAAGTTTCGGTCTTTACCTTCCTGTTGTAATTGAGCCAAGAAAAGTGCAAGGTATGTGTCTGATATTAATTCTGGACCCGTCAAGAGAGAATTCAAGTTAAACCACTGGAAAAGAAAAATTGTCAATATTTAAGTTAGTGCACCAAAAACCAAACCCACTGCCATCGAGTCGATTCCGACTCGTAGCGACGCCATAGGACAGAGTAGAACTGCCCTACAGGGTTTCCGAGGCTGTCAACCTTTACAGAAGCAGTGGGCTCTGACTCCAGCCTTTCGGCTAGCAGCCAAGTGCTTAACCACTGTACTACCAGGGCTCCTCGTGTTAGAGTACATTGTAGGTAACAAAGAAATTACACAGGTGAAATAGATATAATTTGTTCCAAACTAATGAAATGTCTAAACGCTGGAAACATGTCAAACAAAGATATTCTTAAAGTAGCTGAATAGTGTGATTTTAAAAACTGAAAATGTTTCAGATGTATCACTATTAAATGTCTTGTTTAAAAATAAAAGTTCATTTCATGCCACAAATTCTAAATCCCTGCCCCTAAATAAAAAAAACCTCTAGTAACTTTAAAGTATGTTTATTTATAGATATAGGTAAATTTTTCTTCAAAGTATCAGACCAACCCAACTCTAACCTCATCACCTTGATAATGACGTGGAAGAAAAGTAACAACTACACAATTTTTTCCCACTACTGATAATTTTGGTCAAAAGACTCAGAGAAAGTCGAACAAGTCAGATATGTGAAGAAGAGAGTCTGTAATTACTAACGCATTTAAAAGGAGCCCAGGTGGCACAACAGTTAAGCTCTCATCTGCGAACTTAAACGTGAGTGGTCTGAACCCACCCAGTGGCTCTTGCAGAGAAAGCTCCAGCAATCTGTTCCCATCAAGATTAAAGGCTAGAATACCTGATGGGGCCGTTCTACTGTCACATGGGCGTGCTATGAGTGCAAAATCGAGTTGATAGCACCCGACAACATTACCACCACCACAAGGTAACTGACATCAATCAGTTAGTCACTGTTTCACAGACATCCTGGTTTAACCTCCACGATTAAAAAGTTCTCAAAGTTACGGTCAATATTATGACCAATAATTTTTCTTACGCTCTTACATGTCTGACGTACCTTTCCAGTTATCTTTTTCATTATAGAAGGACCTCAGACAGAAAGAGCTATAGTGAAAAATATGGTTTCAATCAAAAACATAAACTAGAATCAAAGATAATAAACCAAATTTGACATCTTCTGCACATGTACTTCAAAACGTGAAAATGCAACTTGGAAGAACTAAAATTCTAAAACCTCTCAAAATAGTAAGATATAAATTTATAAGCAAATTTGATTACACAGAAAAAGTAAAGAACACTTGATCATACTTTTTACAAATAAATCCAGAGATTAAATCATCTTGTCAGTATCCTGCCCTAGTTAGTTATTCCCTGGAGTGGATTCACACCCCGGCCCATCTCTACTCAGGGCCTCCACCCCATGCCTCCTAACTTGCTCTTAAGAGAAAGTCATCAGGACCCTGAGAAATAACCATTTCAGGTGAAGTTGCTTCCAGGTGGCTGACTCAAAAGAGGAGGATTCTTTGTTTCTGAATTATCTTTCATCGATTTAATTCAATGTAGCCTTCCTTGAAGGATCCTGGTGGCTAAGTGATTGACTGCTAACTGAAAGGTTGGCAGCTTAAGACCACCAGCGGCTCCATAGGAGAAAGATGTGGCAGTCTGCTTCCGTAAAGATCCCAACCTAGGAAACCCTATAGGGGCAGTTCTACTCTGTCCTATAGGGTCCCTATGAGTCAAAATCAGAATTGACTCACAGCACATAACAAGTCTACCTTGACGTCAGTTTCTTTTTTGCTTCGAATTTATTTTTCAATAGCTTTATTGAGGTGTAACTGATGTATAATAAGCTGACCATATACAAAATACAACTTGGAAAGTTGTAACATATGCATACACCAATGAAACCATTACCACAATCACGTTCATCATCCCCAAGTCTCCTCGTGTCCCTCTGGAAGCCCTCCCACTCACTTCCCATCCTTCCCCTCCCTAGACAACCACTGACGGATCTGCTTCCTGTCACCAAACATGAGTTCACACCTTCTAGATGTTTATATATGGAATCATATAACAGGGACTCTTTTTGCCTGGCTTCTTTCACTCACTGCAATTATTCTGAGATTTATCAATATTGTTGTGTGTATCAGTCCATTCTTTTTTATTCTAATAGGTGAGTTTCGATAACCCTCTTCCAAAGATTCAAACTTCTAATAAAAAAACAAAGGTTTTAAAATAACTGTGTTTCAAAACAGAATTGTGTGTACAAAGGTCACTGATAATTAATTACGTTTTTATTTTAAAAGGCTTACATACATTTAAGTATTCTAGTAGTAATTTGAAGAGCCTACACCAAAACTAGGAGCTCTGGTAGCATAGTGGCTAAAGCACTTGACTGCTAACCAGAAGGCTGGCGGTT